TCATTTGTAAAGAAGCTGTCTGGATCTTCAACTTTCATGTTGTTTATTGGGGTGCTAAACATAGCCTCATACTGGCATCTTAGAATTTAACTAATTTCTTCGTTGTCCTCTATGTACATACCTTCAGTTGTAATTAAAGGTCCAATACTGGTGGAGCTTTTTCATTTTGATTTTGCGTATGTGAAAAAATATTTTGGAATTTTCTTTCTCTTGTATAGATACCGAGGAAACAGTACAACTCTGTTTTCAGCGAGCCACTAAACGCACTAAAGATTGATAACCCAAATGAATTTTTCATGGATTTGATACCAACATCAAATCATATATCAGACGTCACCCTATCCCCACTGGATTTTGAAGAAGCCATAAACAGTATGCCTATGCGCTCTGCACCAGGCCCTAATTCTTGGAATTCCATATTCATCAAGAACTATAAAAAACCACTATTGCAGGCCCTTCACATTCTTTGGAGACAAAGCCTAGATACTGGCCTTATCCCTGACATACTTAAAAACAGCAGAGATAGCACCACTCCATAAAGGAGGAAATAAGGCAGAGGCAAAAAGTTACAAACCGATAACACTAACATCACACATCATTAAAATCTTTGAGAGAGTGCTAAGAAGATCACAAAATACATGGAATCATAGTATCTCCAAAACCCCGGACAACATGGTTTTAGAAAGGGGCACTCTTGCCTGTCACAGTTGCTGGACCACTATGACATGACATTAGATGCCATGAAAGACAAACAAAATGCTGATGTAATTTACACAGATTTTGCAAAAGCCTTTGACAAATGTAACCATGGTGTTATTTCACATAAAATGCGTTCAAAAGGAATTACCGGAAAAATAGGCAGATGGATCTACAATTTCCTGACTAACAGAACCCAATGTGAAATAGTTAACAAAATAAAATCCAGTTCATCAATTGTAAAGAGCTCAGTCCCCCAGGGTACTGTGCTTGCTCCAGTACTTTTTCTCATCCTCATATCCGACATGGACAAGGACACAAACTATAGTACTGTATCATCCTTTGCAGATGACACTAGGATTTTCATGAGAGTAGACAACATAGAGGACATGGCAAACCTCCAATCAGATGTAAATCAGGTCTTTCTATGGGCTACAGAAAATAATATGGTGTTTAACTAAGATACGTTATAGCTCAAACACTACGGAAAAAATGAAAATATAAAAAGAAAAACCACGTACAAAAGTCAGTCAAATCATAACAGAGTGAAAAGGCAATGTAAATAATTTAGGTGTATTCATGTTGGAAGACCTTGCCTTCAAAGAACACACTGAAGTAGCCATCACAACTACAAGAAAAATGACAGGTTGGATAACAAGAACCTAAATAACACAATTAAGTAGCCGTCACAACTGCAAGAAAAATGACAGGTTGGATAACAAAACCCTTTCACACTAGAGATGCTATACCGATGATGATACTTTTCAAGACGCTAGTGCTCTCTTGAGTGGAGTACTGCTGCACAATGACAGCCCCTTTCAAAGCTGGAGAAATTGCTGACCTGGAGAGCGTGCAGAGATCCTTTACTGCTAGAATACATTCAGTAAAACATCTAAACTACTGGGACCGACTAAAGAGCCTAAATCTGTATTCTCTTGAGATACATAATGGGAAGAGGTGGGAAGAGATACATAATAATTTATATGTGGAAAATATTAGAGGGGCTGGTCCCAAACCTGCACACAGATATAACATTACATGAGACCAGAAGGCATGGCAGGATGTGCAGAATACCCCATTGAAAAGCAGAGGTGCAACAGGTACTCTGAGAGAGAACTCTATCAACATCAGAGGCCCAAGACTGTTCAACACGCTTCCACTACACATAAGGGGCATAACTGGCAATCCCCTCACAGTGTTAGAGAGAGAACTGGATAAGCACCTCCAAAGGATACCTGATCAACCAGGCTGTGATTCACACGTCAGGATGCGAGCAGCCGCATCAAACAGCCTGGTTGACCAGTCCAGCAACGAGGAGGCTTGGTCGACGATTGGGCCGCGAGGACGCTAAGTCCCAGAAACACTTCAAGGTAACGCAAGGTATAGCTTTCTGTTGCAATTCCATTTCCTCAAACTTGTATGATCGCTTCCAATGTCTGCTCTATTACTTCGGTCTCCCTGTTTAGATTTACTGTATTTTCTTTTCTTGTGGTAGTCTTGTCTGTTTAAGCATTTCCGTGATTTTTTCCTTCTGTACAGTTTTCTGTGTTCTCTTTCTAGAGTGGTCCTTTTTCTGGTCCTTCCTAGCAGGCACATACTTCAAGCATATCTTGTATGTTTCAGCTGTCAGTTGAGCTATTCCCTGTGTGAAAGTTTTGTCGCTTCAGATGGTGTCCTATTGAATGTTTGCAAGATCTATATATATATATTTTTTTTCCCCAGTTGATCCTCGTATTGTTGAAACTGAATTGATTGAATAACCCTTCTTGCTTGTTGCTTCTCTTGGCCCTACTACTGTTATTAATGTTAGTTTGCACTTCAATGAGCTTGTGGTCCGAGTATGTAGTGTCTGAGATTGTAATGTCACTGATTAGATCATTATTGTTTGTGAATATCAGGTCTAGTGTTTTTTTGTTCCTAGTTGGTTCTGTAATCTGTTGGTTAAGTTAGAATTTGTCACAGAATCTTAACAGTTCTCTGACCTGATTTTGATTATTTCCAGGTTGGTTTCCTGCTACGACATTATTGTTTGCCATTCTCCATCATAAACTGGGTAGATTGAAGTCTCCACGGAAGATAATATCTGGAACCGGGTTTGCTAGGTTATCAAGAATATTCTCTATTTTGTGCATCTGCTCAGTGAATTCCTCAACCATTGTATGTGGTGGTTCATGTATTATAATAATAATTAGATTTATTTGTTCTACCTTGATTCCAAGTTTCTCTACCACCTCATTGGATGCATTTAGTAGCTCTGTGCATACCAGATCCTTTTTTTAAATGATGAAAACTAATATAAATGCCAAGTACTGTATTTTAAAGTTCAGATTACAACACAGTATTGTATTATAAGTCTGGAACATATATAATAATACTGTATATAGTTTAGAAGTTGCTCTATATCGAGTGTGTGATTATCATTATAATCATAAAATTATCTACAGCGATTATCATTAAATCATAAAATTATATTTCTTGCCAATGTTCAAATCTATTTCTCGATGACATTCACAGACAAAACAGCAGCAAAGGCAAGGTTGCACGACACATCCTTTCAGTTGTGGCAGGAACAGTTACGTACAACAGAGATGTATGTATCACATTACTGTACATGTACTAGTACTGTATATGTACAGTACTCAATTACTGATATTTCAAACGTGTGTAAATTATGCTGAGTTATTCCACACATTATGTAAGGTGAAGTGAAATCATCTAACTCGAGCATCGCAGCCTTCTTCTGTACACGAGGAGTCAGCCCCTTGAGTGCACACAAGTCCACGGACCCAATGAACCCCGCTCACGGCCTCCTCTCTATGTGTACAAAAAAAAAAAACTCAGATATTTGTATTTTTTGTTGAATTTTCCTTACTTTTTGCATGCAAATGTATCATTTTATAAGAAATTTCTATCATTATTATTCGACGTAAAATGTTGTATCTACTGTATACCTATTGCATTTATTATATCTATTAGTTACATTTTCAATTAAGTGATCTCCAGCAGCTCAGCTGTGGAATATAATTGCAGGGTGGTGTAATGCTTTTCCTTATTGACCTCTTTAATTCGGCTTGAGTTATTATGCGATTTCCCTATTATTATTATAAGGACAAGAAAGTGCATAAATTGTATACATTACAGTACTATATATTATATGGCATTTTATTATTCCAGGTTGGAATTGCAATGAAATTATTTGATACAACCGCAAGTTTTGTAAAGCATTTTATTATATCCGTATTTTTTGCATACAGGCAGAGGTGCACCTTTAATGTAAGCTGCACACCAGAGTTAAGGTTACTTGCCAATGTTTAAGACGACTACATGCCCCAAAACATGTACACTTGATGTGCATGACAGGCGGCAGTGAGTGACAGGAGGCAGCGAGTGACAGGAGGCAGTGAGTGACAGGAGGCAGTGAGTGACAGGAGGCAGCGAGTGACAGGAGGCAGCGAGTGACAGGAGGCAACGAGTGACAGGAGGCAGCGAGTGACAGGAGGCAGTGTGTGACAGGCGGCAGCGAGTGACAGGAGGCAGTGAGTGACAGGAGGCAGTAACAAGAGGCTGTGAGTGATGGTAGGGGTGCACTCCTTCGATGGGAAGTTTCTCCTCCATAATGGGAAGAAGCCTCACCGCTCCACTCGGGTGTCCCAAATATTCCCGCAGGCCACCCCATTACATCACCGTGACATCCCACACGACAAAACATATAAAAACTAAAGTTTATCTTTAATTTTCATAAGGCTAGGTTAAGATGGGATAGGTTAAGTACGCAGAGTTTTAAGAGTAGCATTAACATAACAACAACACCTGCAACCCCCTTAACATCTCTGCCACCCCCCCCCCCCACCCCATGCAGTGCCACAAGGCACAGGCACGCCACCAGACCAGGCACAGGGTGGCTGAGTGCCTGGCAGTAATGAGGGGGGGGGTCACTGCCAGAGACAAGAGATGAGCAGTGAGGTAAAGGTAGGAGGTGGGAGGGTCCCCTGAGCCTCCATCTAGTGTCAGGTGTTCTGGCCTCAGTGTGGCTGCCTAACCTCTTCCCCTCATGCTCTAGGCCCACCTGGCAGCCCCAGCTGGCCCACCTGGCACCACCAGATGGCTCACCTGCCCGCACTACCTGTAATCATTACGCCGATTAACTATCAAATTCTTTCACCTCCAGAAACTGATCCGTGTCAAAGCTTGGTCCCAGGCGCCATGCACGGCGAGTTTGGCTGGCTGCGAGGGGCGTCACGCCCAGCCACCTCAACATGAGGCCACGCAGGGCCTCCAAGCAACAAGATAACCGATATACTCACGGGAATTGTAGCAATTATTAGTTAGGGTAATGTCACAAATCTCTCCATGGAGCCATATTGAATCTATCATGGAGAAATGGTAATGGAAGAGCGGCCGGCCGCTCCCAGTTATCCGGCTCTCTACCGGCCCCAACACCGGTATTGTTACTTCCTCACGCTACATTTACACCCGAACATCGTCAGAAATGTCTCTACGACAAGATTATGGAGATTATCAACTTTTTTTCTCCATTTTGGAGCGGGCAGGGATCGTGTGTGTAACGCCTGGTAAACAACACAGTTTAACCTGGCAAGTGTTAATTTATTGACCACTCAACTTTGTAAACATTCATATAAACATTATTATATATTATAATTTAGTGCTTCAAGCAACGATGCAAGATTAAGGAATGATTACTGTATGTTCGCGTATGTTCAGCTGGGAGTTTATAATCGAGGTGCTTATGTCGACAACTAACTTGTTCATTTAGAAAGAAATTGAATTGAATTTAGAACATTAATATTTGTTACAATACATTCGCACAATAATAAATTATCCGTATACCCTCCGTCATTATGCGATGCAGTGCAAAAATATACGTGAATTGAGAGACAATTCAATAACAAATGCTCAAGAAATGTGTAAATTATTAACTATAAAATTATCTGCCACCAGAAATTTTAGCCAAATTGACCTGAATTTATCTGAATAATTGAAGATTATTCAGGTAAATTCCTGAATATATATATATATATATATATATATATATATATATATATATATATATATATATATATATATATTTTTTTTTTTTTTATAGATAATAGGGAAGGGAGTACCACCTCTGGCTGGAAGAAGGGGGACCCATAGCCTCGGAGGAAACCACACATAACGCATTGGAGTGAATGTAGGTCCCCTCCAATACAGTTTCTGTGTGCTTTTCTCCTACCACCCCCTTCCCTTTTTTTTCCTTTATTGTGTATTTAAAGGTTACAAAACATACAAGACAAATGCCTAAAGGTTATGGATCTCTTGAAGCTCCTCCGCTTCTGGACAGGAACCGAGGACGCAGAAAGCGTTTCCCCTCTGGATCGCCACACTTAGACGCTGAAACAAAAAACTGGAAGCCCTTGGGTCTCTGGTGACGTCAATGAGCTTGGAACCCAATTCCTTGAGAAATCCCAAGGCACTCTTGCCCCAGGGGCCATGCGTCTCAGACGCTATGGGAACAAAGAGGTATTGACCTTCCAGTCGCCTGTACTTGAGTGATTTTGCTGTTTCCCTGTGGTTGGCCGCCCCACCTGCTTGATCAGCTCCGAAGTGTACATAGGTGTCAGCTAGGGTGGATACACATGTGTAGTCCCACACCAACTGTCTACAGTTGTATCCAGACCACGGTTGTGTGCGGTCGCTAGGTTGGCGCTCTTGGCGTCCGCTGATTGGTGGGAGGTGGAGGATTGCCCCACACTCTTCGTTTTTGCACGTGGTGATACAGGATATTGTGCATTTGTTCTCGATTATTGACAGCGTCGAAGAAATGGCTGAGGCGTTATGCCAAAGTGGTAGTGAGAAGGACAGACAAGATGATAATCGACCGTTTGAATTAGTAGTGAACAAAAAGAAACGGAGAAATAATAACAGACAGCGAGACAGTGAGAGTGACGATGAGATTGCAAAGAGACCAAAGAATGAGACCCTACTCAGCAAGACTCAAGACAAGCAAGACAAGACAAGAAGGAAGAGGCTGTTGTTCCCTACAACATGCCAATTGAATTTCCACCAAAAGCTAGAGTGGACGGTACGTCTGGCTAAACAATGTTTGGAATACGAACCACTTTTCAAGGAGGGTCTTCACCGGCCCTACATAACAGTTGGGACTGAACAGGCCGTGGAACACCTCACGACGGTTGGTTTTGAGAATGTAGTGATGGTTCCTCCAGAAGAAGGTATGTTGCACACAAAGATCATAGTTTTCAAGTTTCCAACTTATTTGGATCCTGACTGTCTTCTTCTTAACAATGATAATGTTGTCTGGGCAAAGAGGAACAGTGTTCGTGGTGACAAACGAAGCCAGGTTGTTGCCTTGGTAAAGGGTAAGGCGCCGGAGAAAATCTTTGTGCAAGGACTAGGCTATAGGAACGTTGCAAAATACGTTGAGGAGCCCATACTGTGCATGAAGTGTTCACGTTGGGGACATATGGCATGGAAATGCCAGTTTGACCCCAGGTGTCGGTATTGTGGGAAAAATCACGACTCGCGAGAGTGTAGAGTCAAGATTGAAAGAAGTGAAAAAATCATCCCATTTTGTTGCAACTGTCGAGGCAGCCACAATGCTGGTTCCTCTCTATGCCCCATGAAGCCTCATCTGAAAGAGACTAGAACGGGTCCTACAAGCAGGATAGATGTATCCTCGCAGCAAGGAAAAATTGTGCAAGAGGAACATGGAGGAAACAGTTGGAAGCCAACGGCAGCCCCTATGATCAATGTGTGGGAAAAAGGGACGGAGAAAGTAAAGGCGAGCTTAGGGAAAGTACATAATGCAGTGGAAAAACTGAAACCTTGTGACGACAAGGTTCAGGACAATATGGTCACCTCTGAGGTTGGTAATCAAATTTTGGAGTATCTAAAAAAACTAGATAAGAGGATTGACGCATTGGAAAAATTGGCTATGGAAGGTGGACGGGGTGAAGATGGTGGTGAAACAGGACATGTAATTGAAAGTAAAACGAGACGTGAAATGGAAAGTGAAACGTGCGTAGAAGAAAGTAATGATGTGCATGAGGTAACGATGATAGAGGATAGTCAGGAGAATACACTTTCTAGTAGTGTTAGCGGTGTTCAACCTCCTGTTGTGACAAATGGTGAAAGAACGGTTAAAGTAAAACGGGTTACAGAAATAACAAAGAAAATAGATATGAAAAATATTACCTTCGATGTTAGTAGTAGTTGTGAAGGTGAGGAGAAAGAAAAAATGTTACGGTGTTGAAGGAAGTTTCTAAGGTACTCTTGTATCTCATGGAATGTGACGGACAGGGCAAAGGTAGTTTTATTATTAATCATGGATGAAAGTAAATTGAGAATATTATCTTGGAACATTAATGGATTAAAAACTAGAGCGGTGGATGTACACTATTATACTCTTAGAGAGGATATTGACATGCCTCCCAACACCTTCCAAATGCCTCCCAACACCTCAAACCAATTCTATTTGCTGACGACACAACCTTCATTTACTCCAGTCCTGACCCTCTTGCTCTAAATGCCACAGTAAATACTGAGCTAAATAAAGTCCATCTTTGGCTAACTGCCAACAAACTCACCCTTAACATTGACAAAACCTTCTATATTCTGTTTGGAAATAAATCCTCTAGTCTTATAAATCTCAAAATAAACAATACCCAAATTTGTAACAAATTAGATGGCAAATTCCTTGGCATTCTCATTGACCACAAGCTGAATTTCCAGGGACACATTCTAAATATATCAAAAAAAGTTTCAAAAACTGTGGGCATTCTTTCTAAGATCAGATATTATGTACCCCGCCCTGCTCTGGTGACTCTCTATTACTCCCTTATCTATCCTTATCTCAACTATGGTATTTGTGCTTGGGGTTCTACTACCCAAAATCACTTACGTCCTCTAATTACCCAACACAAAGCCGCTATTAGAACAATATCCAACTCTGGCCCCAGACATCACTCGGTACCCCTACTCAAATCTCTTAATATGTTAGATATTAAGTCACTGCACATTCTCTCATGTGTATTATACATATTTAAAACGCTAAACTATAATGCCAATCCTGATCTTAAAAGCTTCATAGAAGGTTGTAACAGAACCCATGAGCACCACACCAGAAATAAATACAGTTTTGATATTCCTAGAGTACGTCTTAATCAAACTAGAAATGCTCTGCAAATCAAGGGGCCCAGAATGTGGAATGACCTTCCCAACCATGTTAAAGACTGTACCTCTCTCAACCAGTTTAAGATAAAACTAAACACTACCTAATAAATTCCCTGTAATCTACCTCACTCCTCTATTGTCAACCCATGTCTGTTATTTTCTTTTTTTTTTTCTTTTTTTTAATCAACACTGTTTGTCAACCTATTGTATTTGTGCTGCTTTTTCAGTCATGTTCCCCCTTTTTTTTTTATCTTTATTTGTATTTGTTCTCAACATCTTTTATTCTTTATGCTCAATTAGTATTAAGTTCTAGATATTAATGTTTTTTCTTGCCCGAAACGCATTGCGTAATAGTGGCTTTAGGCATTGTATGTACTAGCTCTATCTATATATCAATCCTTTAATGTAACATCACTTGTATGTATATACCTTACCTGAATAAACATCTGAATAAACATCTGAATCTGAATCTGAATCTGACATAGTAGCACTCCAGGAAACTGGGGATAGGGATGGTAGCATACTGAGGCTAAATGGCTATAGAGGCTTTCACTTATATGCTGATGGAGGAACTAGGGGGGTCTCATGTTATACAACAATACAATTTTATTTAGGTAAGGTACATACATACAATAAATTTTTACAAGGATTGTTTGACTTATAGGTAGAGCTAGTACATACAATGCCTAAAGCCACTATTACGCAAAGCGTTTCGGGCATGATAAACTTAAATGACAAGCTTAATACTAATTGAGCATAATGAGTAGAATGAAAACAAGAAATGAAAACATAGATGAAAAAGCAGCACAAATACAATTATGTCGACAAACAGCGCTCTTTAAAGAAAAAACAGACATTGGTTGACAATAGAAGGGTAAGGTAGGTTACAGGGAATTTATTAGGTATAGCTTCGCTTTTAACTTAAACTGGTTGAGAGAGGTACAGTCTTTAACATGGTTGGGAAGGTCATTCCACAATCTGGGCCCCTTGATTTGTAGAGCATTTCTAGTTTGATTAAGTCGTACTCTAGGAATATCAAAACTGTATTTATTTCTGGTGTGGTGCTCATGGGTTCTGATACAACCTTCTATGAAGCTTTTGAGATCAGGATTGGCATTATAGTTTAGTGTTTTATATATGTATAATACACATGAGAGAATGTGCAGTGACTTAATGTCTAACATATTCAGAGATTTGAGTAGGGGTACCGAGTGATGTCTGGGGCCAGAGTTGGATATTGTCCTAATAGCAGCTTTGTGTTGAGTAATTAGAGGACGTAAGTGATTTTGGGTAGTAGAGCCCCAAGCACAAATACCATAGTTGAGATAAGGATAGATAAGGGAGTAATAGAGAGTC